ACCAATTGAAAGCAAAATGCTTTTGTTTTTCTTTCTTTATAAAAAAGTCAAATAAAAAAGAAACTATGGGCCATTTTCCCCCTACAATAATATAACATTATCGGTGATTCCATTCCGTTTTTCACACCTTTAACTTTCTTGTCAACCTTCATGGAAAATGAGATTTCAATCCCATATTAAACTAATTAAAAAGCTTGGTTTTTAAAGTCATTTTGGAAGTTGGAGCCAAATCATCAGTTCACATGAACATGATATGATCCCTTTATCTTCCATTGCTTTCCTCAATATTGCAACCATGCTTATAGGTGGCCTTGCGTTTATACAAAGATCATATATAAAGCAAATGATACATTTGGCCTTGATCCATTCTGAATCATTCTTTCACCTTGTAGAAAAATAATTAAGAATATATTATGTGTCCACTTAAAAAATGTCAATTGAATATGAAATTTAATTTAATTAATTCATATAACTATATAAAAAAAGTATTTAACAGATATAAAATTTGAATTTCGATATTTATAACTCTTTCCTCATACAACTATAAAAGAAGGCATTTTCTTTTTTTTTTTTTATATTTTTGAATTTTTATTTAAAAACTACAAATAAAATTTGTTAATTTGCTATAAAATAAATTTTATTTATAATAAATTAATTAATAAATAAATTTGCGGTTTATTCTACGGTCCGCTTGGTGAACAGGAACCTTATAATGTAGCTGAAAAACTGGCTGTAAAACTGGAGTAAACTTCTTCGCTGGGTTAACTTGATTTAAAAAGAATGCTCTAATTATCAGATTCAAAGGTGGCATTAGTTGGGTCCGTAATAACTAAGCTCGGCCATTGAAACATTGTAAGCTTTTTGATGAAACTGACAAACGTTCTCTTCGTTGATGCAAACGCGTTTGCAAATGAAAAAGTGGGGTTGATTGAAGCGATGTCATTCAAAGCAGCTTATATATTTTCTGCCAAGTGTACAATAATTGTTTTGTAATATTTCACCAGCTAGTATAGAAATTACATGCATGTTAACAGAATCTATCCTCTTCCCATGATAAAATCCTTGGTCCAGCTAGAAACTTTTCTGACATGACTTGGATCATGATTCTTCTAAAAGAACGCTCATGTTTTCTTTTTATTTTCAATTTTTTACGGTGCTTTTGCAGTCGGACGACACTGTAGCTCACGATGCTTATGTCAAAGTTGGGCACCAAAATATTCTTCAGAATTTGATACCAACAAATGTCATTTTTGCGGTGGTACTATAACAGACGGTGATACTTAGCGCATATCAAAAACTATGGCGACAGTACCATAGCAATTAGTCTTCACACTTAACACTTGCTTTCCCTTTGGTAGCACTTTCCCGCAATAGGCTAATCTATCATTAATCTTGCAAGATTTCCTCCATAACCTGTGCTCCATTCAACCTTTCAACAGCTCCCTTTGCGTCTCCAGTTTCTGCATACTGAACGAAACGAAACTTTCTCCCTATCTTACTCCAGTTTCTAAAAATAAACACATACAATTCTACCATGATTCTAAAAAATTTCTCGTAGCCATCTCCCGATACACTTGTGGAGGAACATTGTTGATGAAGACTTTGAAAACTTCCATCTACTCGCACACTTCAACCTCCTTGTTCAATAAACTTTTGAATGTCTAGCTTAGAACAAACTACTATACCCATTTTTTGAAGTAATAAAAAATATTATCATATTTCAATATGCATTTCAGTTATATTTTTTGAAATATCATTCAATTATATCTTGTTCGATATTATGTTTAGCAAAACAGATGTATTTGAAGATCTTTCTAGTCATATAAAACTTACCATAATATTAGAAAAAGTTGCATGGATGTAGCATGTGCTCTGACTAATTTTAAATCATGATCATCACTTCAATTTCATTTTGTCCAATGTTTGGAACTAAAGTCAATAAAAATAATCCTAATATTTCATTAATTTTTTTAAAAATATTTACAACTACAAATTATTTTTATAATCAATTATTAGATTTATACATAAAATTACTAAATAATCAACACACAAATTAGAATATAATTAAATAAATTCAATACAAAATTGAACAAAACGTACACACAATGAAACTTGAACCCTAAACTTCAAAGTTTTAGAGTCTCTTTTTTGTCACTAAACCAAGGCCCGATTAGCACTTTCATTACCTTTTATGGCTGTGTTTGTTTTGCTAAAATTAACTTTTGAAAAATAATTTTTGTATTTTTTATATTTGTATGATAAAAAACTAGTTGGTTAACAAAAAATAATATTATTTTTTGAAAAAGAGTTATCTATGAATAGGATTATTTCTCAATTTGAGTATAATTTTACTCAAGTTGGATCTTGATATAATTTTTCAAGTTTAAACTTAATTTGACTTGATCCAAAATATTATTATTTTAAAAAATATTTTATTTAATTTTACGTAAAAAAATTAAAATATTAACATTAAAAATCTTCTAATATTTCAATTTCAAAAATATTTTTATAGTTCTACTCAAATAAGACGTTGATATAATATTTTAAGTTTAAACTTAATTTAATCTGATATGAAATATTATTATATTTATAAATAATGTTTTTACTTAATTTTATTTAAAAAATTAAAATATTAACATTAAAAGTGTTTAGATATTTTAGTTTTAAATATTTTTATTTTTATATTATTAAACATATATATTTTTAATATTTCAATAATAAATAGTATTATATTATTATTTGAATAATAAATAATAATATATTAAATAATATTTTGATTATTTTAATAATGAATATTAAATAATTTAATAATATCATTATTATTTTTTGATTTAAAATATATTATTTTTATATGTTATTTATTAATGTATTTATATTATTATTTAATAACAAATATAAATAAATAATATTTTTGATATGATTTACTTATAAATACTTTCAATATAGAATATAATTATTTTAATAGTACAAATGTTTTTATTATTTTAATAATAGATATTACTGTTATTTAAATATAAGAAAATAATATTTTAAAATAGTAATTACTATTTTAAATATTTTAAAATATTGATAATTAATAATAAATAGTTGTTTTAAGTGTTTTATATAATATAATAATTTATTATTAAATATTATTATTAAAATATAATTTTTTGAACATTTTATAATTTTAATATATTTAATCATAAATAATTTTTAATATTTTAATAGTTATGTTAATATTATTTTAAAAATTAAATTTTTTTTAAAAAATCAAATAATAAAAAAATATTTTTAATTGACATATCCATATGATAAAAAAATTTTATTTTTTAAAAATTATAAACATTTTTTAAAATCAATTTTCGGTTAATATTTTAATAGTTATGTTAATATTATTTTTAAAAGTTAAATTTTTTAAAAAATCAAATAATAAAAAAATATTTTTAATTGACATATCCATATGATAAAAAAATTTTACTTTTTTAAAAATTATAAACATTTTTTAAAATCAATTTCCGGTTAATATTTTAATAGTTATGTTAATATTATTTTAAAAAAATAAATTTTTTTAAAAAATCAAATAATAAAAAAATATTTTTAATTGACATATCCATATGATAAAAAAATTTTACTTTTTTAAAAATAATAAACATTTTTTAAAATCAATTTCCGGTAAACCTAAAATTATTTGTAGCCCTCGTTCACGAAGGTATAAAATTCAACATTTAGATTTGGACATTACCAAGTTCGGCCAATCCCGTTTTGGGCCACGCAAGATTGTGGAAGTGCGGACCACTTGATTCCTAACGCATTGACGACTCCATCTTACACTGTCATCTCACAATTGCAAACCATTGCTAGGCTGTGTCACCTCAATGATTCGCGAGAAAAGAGTCTCCCTACTCTCCCCAAATCAGACTTGGCAATCGATGCAAAGAAAAATATTATAAAAAATTAAAAAGTAAAAAAAATTTACAAGTGCCGTTCCTTTTTTTAATATTTTAAATGATAATAAATATTTTATTTTTTATATTAGTAAAATTTTAATTTATACAATTATTTTAAATTTTTATATATTTTATAATTTTATTTAAAATATTTTATTAACTCAATATTATTCAAATAATTCAACAATTAAACCATTAATTTAAAATTCGAAACTTTGAAAGAATCATTATGATTTGTGCAACTTCGCAAATAAATCATATAATCAAGTTTTTTTTTATCCAATAGTATAAGATTTAAAAAAGAATTGGTGACCTGATAGTTATTTTTTTTTTTATACTTATAAAACATCAAAATTGGGTCACTGGTTTACAATATCAGGTAATGTAATTGCATTCATAGCCAATTACCTAAACCAATGTAATGCGATCTCACCTCCTCATGACGTAGATTTTATTTCATGCCGATTTGGGCACCCGCTTTTGTCTCAAACTAAGTAATAGGTTACAAAATAGTAACCAATGTGTACGAATTTCATTTTTCCTTCTTAGTTATAAATTGTACAGTAAAAATTTATAAAAATTTTCCCTTTTTATATAATATATCAATCATTTACATTTAAATTTGTTTTATTGGATCAAGTGTTTTTAAAAGTTCAATTTTCGCTTAACTTGTAAGATTCGAAAAGTTTAAAATTTTAAAAAATATATATTAAAATATTAAAAAATTACTGATATTCTAATATTTTTAAATATATTTATGAATTAAATTTAAATTTAAAAATACTTTTATTAATAATTTAATTTTTTGGATCAAAACAAATCAAACTGAAAAATTTTTATTTAAAACTCGACTTGAATAAGATAAAACTTCAAATTAAATGAATAATTCAACTTATGTATAATTTAATATTTTAGATCAAAATGAATCGAATTGAAAAATTTTTACTTAAAACTTGACTTGAATAAGAGAAAACTTCAAATTAGATTAATAATTCAATTCATAGATAGATTCACGCACTTAAGCATTGATTTTTTTTTTTTGTTAATTTTAGGAAAATGGTGATGCTAGAATTGCAAAATGACTAATAAAATATATCTTAAGCATTAAATTTGATAACTAATCTATGGAACACAATCCATCATAGATTGATTTACTACATGATCCCAATTACGTATGTTGGAATAATTAACTTAATTTTTATGTTGTTCTATATTAGTAGAAAGATAAGCCCCTTAACTTTGGATGAGAGCTGCGAAGAGCAGTTCGTTCCACGTATCAGGAACTCCGGGGAGACACCAATGTGTACAATCGGTGCCGCGGCGGCCTCCGTAGCCATAAGCTGAAGGATGTCCGTCCTTTCTTAGTTGCGACAAGGCTGTTATATCAAGCAAATGAACTGGTTTCGACACACTTCGCAATACTTTATTTAAAACAACTTGGGCCGGATGTGGACCTCCAGGATAGTCCATGCTTATCATTGGGAGCGTTTCCCCTCGGCAAGTCTTTGCTGTCGGATCCGCCCAATCCCTCGAACTAGTACAACAACAAAAGACCATGTCAATCCGATATGATTTTATCTAAACGTGTGTTAATAGGACTTGAAAGGCCCGCTTCACAGGCACTTGATCTTAGACAAAAAGGAGATTTTTAATGTCACATATAAATTATAAATTTATTAATTAATATGATATTTATTTTTAATATATTTATTTTTAAATAATGATGTGTATAATATTAATTAATAAATTTATAATTTATATATTTAATTAAAAAGTTTTAAATTTTAAATATTATATTTAATATTTTATTATAATTAAAAAATTATGACATTATCCTTATATTAATAATAACTAATATATAAACTACTTACTCCATGTGATCGGGGGAGACGCCTTGGAAAAACACCTTGGTTTTAGCAGAATCTACATTGAAGTTCACCCATCTGGCCCATGTCCTCAACGCTTTCTCATAAGCAACCAATCGATTCATGTCTTTGTGAGTTATCTTATTGTCTTGGACATAATCCCATCTGCAACATTATTCCCAAAAATTCACCCAAAATATATTATAAGCAACAAGTTTTTTTAAGGAAGTCAAAAGGGAGGGTTAGTTGAGAACTGACGGTTGCTTTCGACCGGTGTGAAGCCACCAATGCCAAGTGTCAAAGATCAATACATCAGCCCCTTCCCAAAGTTGTCCACTCCCAATTGAGTTGAGTTTGAGAACTCGCCCATATTTTTCATTAACAATATCAACAAGAAATGCATTGCGTGAGAACATAATTGAAACTCCATATGCCTGCAAAGAGCATCATATCAAGAATGATAATTTTATATTTAATATACTATTTGTAAATCATAAAAAATTAATTTTAAAATTTTAAAATCTTAATAGTTAATACACTTAGTCCTAAAATTATATTTAAAATTAAATTTTTACGAGATGCTTGTTATTGTATGATTCTCTAACCGTATATAACATATATATATATATATATATGGACAGTATATAAAATATAAATTCTAATAATAATGTTCAAAAATAAAATTAGAAATCAAGCAGGAACTCCTCTTAGTTAAGGGAAAAGATTACTGGGAAGCTGAATGTGGAGAGGCCGCCAATCCTTTGCAAGTTGTATTTGGCTCGACATACAGCTGTATGAAGCAAACATGTGAGAGACAGCCATTGATTTAAGCTGAGTGAGTCACCTACAAACATGATCCGCTTCCCTTTAAATCTTCGTAAAAAGTCTCTGCCATTGAACCTGCTTAATTCAAATTCGATTTAGGTTTAAGCATGATTTGGCATAATAACACAATTACAATAGAGGTTTTAGTCTTTGGCTTAGACTCTTATCTTCTTTTTTTTTTTCTAATTTTTTTATATTTTTAATTATCATTTTTTTTGTTTGAGAGTCATGTTGGCCCTCGATTAATCCAAAATCGAATCGAGTAGAATCTCATCTCTTCCAAACTTATTTTTTTTATTCACAAGATTCGAAATCGAAATTCTACTTAAGAAAAATCAAACTCTTTACTACTTAAACCAACAAGCGTTGATATTTTTAATTATTATTTATTAATTTATGATAGACTCCTACACATATAAACTGTGTGGTGACAGATGCAATGAAAATTATAATAAACAGAAAAAACCGTAATTTTTTATTTCAATTTATATAAAGTGTGTACCTAAATAAATTGAATCAAAGGATAGTTTCAAAAATAGTAAATGTTTTTATCAATTTCAAGTTAAAAAATAGTAAGCGTTATAGCATTCATGTTTTCTTCTGTGAGGATGGCATGGTATATTTCCCTTACCAAACAAATTAAAGTTACTGTCAAATCTAAAGTCGAAACTGAAATGATTAAAGCATCTACCATTACCTTCAAAATAGAGGAGATAATATTGAACACCACTTAAGCCGGTAGGTAATGGTGCAACAATAAGAACACCACTATAAGGCCATGGAGCACTAAGAACTACCAGTTACCTTAGGCTAAAAACAACATTTTTTTTTTCTATAAATTGGAATAAGAATACTAAAATAAAAAATTAGACCCATATATGAAAGAATTTTGAAAAAAAAAAAAAACTCTGTAACATTTGAAAAACACATGATATTGACATGAATTTAATGTTTATGAGATAGATTAAAATCAAAGCATAGGTTATAATATGTCACATGTAATGGGAAAAAATGTAGGAAAAAAAAAAAAAAGACGGTATACCTTGGCAAGTTACATGAAGTGGGTTGCCATCTATAGTTTTGATAGAGGTGGTCAGGTCGACCATTGCTTTGGCAATTGAATTCTTGCAGTATGAAGGGGCAATTAGTTGAATTGTAAAGAGGATAAGAAGCATCATACACCCATTTTCCTTTGTAAAGATCACATCTGCTTCCATGCACTTGCTGGCAAAATTCAATAACAAAAAAAAATGCTGCCAAAGCAAATGGACCCATCATTTAATTTCTATTTTGTCAGAGAAAAGAAAGAGAAAAGAGGAGAATCTATTGTTTATAGCTCGCAAACTCTGTGATTCTGGTTTCACATAAAAAGAAAGTAAGAAGACAAGAAGAGAATTGGGATTGGGTCTTGTGATTTGTAAATGCAATGGCAATGCAACAGAGATATTACAACAGGGAGAGAGGAGATAGGCAAAAGAATGCTAATGCTACACGGGAATTGGCATTGGTTCATCGTGCGTCTTTTTATAGGGGATGGACTTAATAAGAAAACATCGATTGAAGTTGACATCTCTCTCTCTCTCTGTCGCAAGTCCCACCCCTTGCTTTAAGTTGTGGGACTTGATAACAAAATCAGAAAGAGAAATAGGAAAGAAAAATGAAGCACATCCTTACGTCCAACCCTAAAATTAAAAATATTTAAGTGGAGATTAGACAAATAATTAACGTCAATCAATTCCATACTGGAAGGAAATTTAATGCAAATTAGATATTTTAAACGGTCGTTTTTATTTTGGGAAAGTTCCTTGTTGTTTAGGAATGAAAGCTCTTTAAATATAGTTTTGTCTTGTGAAAATGTAAACTAATGGCATGCAGCTTTAATTTTGGTTATTTTGTTTTTCAAATGGGTGTTTTTTGCTGCCTATATGTAACCAAGGAATTGTGGAAATGGACCTTAAGAGCAAATAAGGAATTGAGGCTTGACCTTTTCAAAACTAGACAAAGTCCAAAAACGTCCCAAATGTTCTAGGCTTATTGTCTGGTTCTAGTGGACTTTTTTGCCTGCATGGTCGAATGTCTTTATATTATTGATCAAAGTGATGCAGCTATGTTGTTTTATTTTCCTTTGTTTTTTATCTAGATTTTTTAATTTAACCTTTTTTCAAAATATTTTTTTTCCTCATTTTTCTTTGAAATTTTCTATTTTATTCATTTATTTTTATTATTCATTTTTATTATTTACAATTATTTAAATTGTTGGTTTTTTGTGTAGTTTTCAGGTTAATATTATAATTTAAAATCTATGCAATATTATTAATGTAATTTTTTTAGTACAAAGGAGGTTGGGAGATAAGAGGAAGGTCATAGGTGATAAAATTTAAATTGTATATTTATTGGATGTCATATTTTAAATAGGTTATCAATTTAAACTCTTTGAAATGCAAATTGGTAAAATTTATGAAAACCAAAAAAAAAGGTTAAATGTTATTCAAAATTTATTTAAACAAAATTAGATGTTTATACATAAATTTTAATTTTAAAATCTTGTGATAAATATAGCTTTAAAAAATAATTTTATACTATTTATTATTAAAAAATTATTTGATACACTATCAATTAAGTTTTTTAATTTCACAAACAGGATTAAATTGTGAAATTAAAAAACTAACACATATCACACAAGTGAGATTATATATCATTATGTTAACTCCGTTTGTAAAGTTTAAAAACTTGAATGTATTTGATAATATCACTTTACTATTAATATATTATTTAAAAAGATCGAGTATTAAATTAAGTACTTAAACACATCCTAAATCCGATTTGTAGATTCTGAACCTTAACAACTAATTATTCTCATTCTTATCTAGAACTATATTAATACATTATAATCCTTTAAAATGTTGTACAATTTAGAGCAAATGTTTTATTCAAGAAATGAAACTCATATATATGCTCAATTTCTTGATCTACATTAGTATATTTGTCCAAAAGAAATTAAAACATCCTTCCATTATTCCTTAATGATTTAAATGTTTAGTGTTTAAGCCTTATGAGTGAGTACCTCGACGTTGAGATATACACTCCATGATTTAAAACTTATAGCATCTCTTAGGTTTGGATAGAAAATTTTAGAATTTTGAAGAATTTTAAAATGTTAGTAATCTAAAATGCATCAATTTAAAATAATAGAGTTTTTAATTGAATTGTTTTGGATAATTATTTTTTAGAAAGAATTTTAAATATTAGAATTTGATGAGATAAAAAATAATTATAATATTAAATATAAAAAGAAAAATATTTAACAAAAAATACAATATGAGTATCATTAGATTTGTAAAAATATGTATATATTATTAATAATATGAAAATTATTAAAAATATAAATTTATATCGAGTTTTGTAGTTAAAATTAAAAATTAAAAATAAAAGTTGTGAAAAAAAAGAAAATATAATAAATGCTGATTTCTTACTATAAAATCAAGTAATTTCATTCCATCTCCTTAAGTGGAATTTGAAAAAAGAATTAGGACTCTCCAAAATTTTTCATTCAAATTTCAAGAATTTTTGACAATTCTAATTTTTATTTTGTCAAATAAAAAATTTTTTCATTTTAGAATTTCAACTTCTTTTAAAATTTTCTTTTAAATTCTTTTAATTTTTCAATTTCTGAAAGTATCTATAAAGACCTTACTACAGCATTTGCATCCAGCTGGCTTTGTTAGTGAGTAGCTCAACGTTTGATTCCATGACTTTTTATAGTTCAAAGGTAATTCAACGGGGTTTAGGATTTAAAATTTATTGCTTTTTATCAAGAAAAAAAAATATTTTTTCAATACTTAGTTATTTTTTCGTTTTTTTCATTTTAAAGTTTTTGTGTTTGCAAAGATATATAAATGTGTACACAAAAGTTAACCTATAAATTTTAACTAAATTGACTAATAATATAAATGATAATTCTATAAGACTAAAAAATTCAATATTTATTTGAATAAAGATATAAAATAAGAAATTTAAACAATACAAAATTCAATATTTGAATATAATGTAAAATAACATAATATAATTATTTGAATACATCTTAAATTATTAGAATGTACATTCAATAAGAAAATTCCTATTGCATAAATTTAATATTTTATGAAATTTTTTTTTTTCATTTATTTAGAAAATTTTTCCTTTTTCTTCTTTTTCGCTTTATAGTATTTCTTTAAAAAAAATTATATATATATATATATATATATATATCTACACAGAAGTTAATTATTAGAATAATTAAATGAAATTTTAACATAAATTAAATTTTGATTATTTAACCTAAAATCCTAAAATATTTACCATCGAATATCCCAACGATCGCAGAAATTAGGAAGCGTGAGGACTCTATAGATGAGGACTCTATAGAAATATCATAGATATTTTCACGAATTTATACCTTTTATGCGTATTTTTTTAATGAGTAATTTTTTTTTTATTTTTCGATATTTGATAGTTATTTTAGTTTCGGATTAATTAGAATCAAATCAAATTTTATAAAAAATAAATTTTTTTATTTTTTTATTTATAAAATTCAAAATTAAAATTTTACTTAAAAAAATCAAATTTTTTAACATTCATACCAATTGATATTAGTTTTAATGAGTAATTATTTCATGTCATTTTGATTTACTCAAGGATTTATTAATTTAATTGTTGATCGTTGTTAACTTCAATAAGACATTAATCTTACGTGTATAAAACTTTATTGGACTGAGGCATTTAATGTTTAAGACAGACCATCTTTTCTTGGAATATTTTGAAAGTTGTCGGAAAAATATCCTTTCGGATGAATTTAGAAGTTGGAGAAAAACAACAAAATGCACGTTTGTCAACTTACGTTTTCTCCGTGGCTATACATTGCCCACAAACCTTCTCACGGGACTGATTCAAATGACACGGTTATTTATGAATATTTTTAAAATTAAACTATTTTTTTAACATCTCAAAATTTTTATTTAAATATTTTTTTGTCGATAAAATTAATAAATTTTTTTATAATTTATTTTGTATATTATAAATAAACATAAAAAAAAATTTTATCCGCCATTGTGCATCTACCAATCTTCCACACACCTTCGTCCTCCCAAAAATATTCTTTTTATGGAAGATTTACCAAAACTCATTTTAGAAGTGCGCTTCGCCTTTTATGCTACAAAACGGGAAAAAAATAAATTTGACATACACACATTATACTATATTACTATATAATGATTTCAAATTAAAATTTAATTAATATCAA